TTAGGGCCCTTGGTGGGGTCTAGGGGGCAGAGCCCCCGAAAGCTCATGGGTTTTTAGGTATTTACGAACAGATGAGCATATTTTGATACCTCATTTGGGACATTGGCAGGTCACTCATTTCTTTTCTCTCTCGTTTTTCTTTTTTACTTGAATATACTTTTTCAAAAAGTGAGGGGGGTTCGAGCCCCCCAGCCCCGACGTTCTACAGGCCCTGACATGAAGGCTTCTAAATAAGCATATTTTGTCGCCCGGCTGTACATTTGGGAATTTGTAATTTTCCAACAAACGCATACAAAGTTACGATTTTAAAAAAAATGGAGAAAAATTAATACCTGCAAACCATGTCATTTCAGCAACATTTGTAAATCACTGATAACGAATTCAATATACCCCCATCCCCATCAGTACGCCAGTGTTCAGGGGCTCATGTCTTCTCACCTATTTAATAATTTAAAAAACACGATTTTCCCATCCTCTCACAATATTTCCACGATTGTGGAACAGCGCATATTATGATCGACAAATTCGAACGATATGGCAATTAGAGAGAGAGAACCAGAGAGAGAGAGAGAGAGAGAGAGACGTTACACACTAAAACGTACCATATTATAGCACTTCCAATGTAAACAAAAGAAAGGACACACACCCATACACACACACACACACTTCTCCGCTTTGACTGGCCTTCAATTCATTCCTTATGTGTAACGCTAAAATATTATTCACATATTTCATGTCGATCAATATTTACTAAGGGCAGCTGGAGTTTTCTTCTGTCAATAAATCTGCATCATGTGACAATGGTACATATTTGTTCCCTCTACTTGCCTATTTCTGCACGACATGTAAGCATGCATGACAAGCTAGTATTGGCTTGATTTGTAAAGGGAATCGCAGTACGTGTCTGGTTCGGTTTAGTTTAGATATTATAATTACATTTAGATGTTATGGACGCCATCTTGATTTGCACAAAGTGCGTGCAAACATAGACGTAATACAAATTTGTCTTCTTTGGGCGAAGTTAAAACATCAAAGGACAGCCAATCGAGGAGGTGAACTTTCTTTAGGATTTCAAAATACGAAGGTAAGAACAGAACATCGATGTGTAGGAAGTGAGTTGAGTCGTTTTGATGGGCGTGTACGTGGAGATTATGACTTAAACACGGAAATAGGAAAAAAATGATAAAACGGTTATGAAACGAACGAGTTTGAAATGAGAATGAAATGATTATGCAACAAGTGTGAGTATAAGCCTTTTCGTAAATACTATTTGCGAATGGGCAGATAAAGGTCATTTCTGATAAAATTTTAAAACCCACCAACAGGAATACATGCTCATGTTATCTAATCATTAGGGACTTTTAGATTTGCGTGGACTGATACGTGTGACGTCCATTCAAGGCAGTGCATTAAAAGGACGTCGATCGTAGCAATCCACGTTTTTGTTGTGCAAATCTAAAAGTCCCTATTATTCATGTGTACACCTACGGTACATTCTTATGATACAAGAGGGCAAACAAAAGCTATTCGTGAAGCACATACATGACTTTGGCATTGATTATTCTAAAATAAACAAAGTGGGACTTCTCTATGAGTAAAAGATATGTGGATATTTGGGGTCATTTGACCCATTTGCTAACTACGAAATGGTCTACTTGGTATGGATCGAGAGAAAAACAATGAGCTGGGGCATTTTCATGAGAGATACAAATTAAGAAAACAAAATCAGTTTTGCTACTGTGAAAGTTTGTTTTATTACAGTGTCTCTCTTTGATGGATAAGGCCAAATGTCAATTATATCGATAACCCCCCCCCCCCCCCCCCCCCCCCCCCCCCCCCCCGCTCTCTATTTCTCTCTCCCTATCTCTGTCCTTCTCTACCTTCTTACCCCCGCCAATCTTTTATTCTGTCTGAGCCCCGTTTACTGTCTTCCTTTCCTCCACTCTCTTTCCATCTTTCTCAGTAACCCACCCCCCCCCCCCCTCTCTCTCTCTCTCTCTGTCTCTCCATATTATAGCTCTGTATCCATGTTTATATTGTGGAGTACACAATGAACCAGGATTGTCAAGTCTGACAGACATGAGGTCTACAACAGAACCCACTACTATCAATAGTAGTGGTAGTAGTAGTATTAGTATTATAGTTATTTTTCCCGTCCAATTTCGTCAAGCAGCAATCAATTTCATTAACGTGCATTCATGTTCGAGAAAATTTTCTCCACACGTTGCTGCCCTGGTTCATTTTTAAACTTGATGCATTCAATTTCGTTTCTAGTCACCGAATTTTCTAAACATGCACATTCAAATTAAAGCTTGGTTCAGTCAATTTGGAAATACGTAAGGGTTATTTAATTTCGCCAAAGTTGAGTGGGAGGATAATTCTTTGGCGAATTGCGGTTTCATTTTCGTCTATGGGCAACCTCTTAAAACTAGACCTGATAATCACAGTATGATGTTCGATGTTTATTCGGATATTGAGTATTTCATGTTCATTTATTTATTCTTTTTCTCTATGATCTTTTCTGACGTGATTTCGCATTATTCCATCTTCTTATTTGTCTGATATAGTTATATTGCATTTTATGTTTTCTCTTTCTTTCGACATTCTTTATTTTTGTTGAAACATCTCTTTATTCATATCTTCATATTTTTCATTATACATGTCTTTGAGGTTATTTTTTAAATGGTTTGTTTTGATCAATCTTGATTGAGTAGGTGATCTTTTCATCTTTTCATTTAACATCTTTTTCTTTATTCGTCATCGTATTTTGTTTCCATCATGTCCATGTCTATTAAAGCTGAACTCTACCTCTGCCCAGGATCTTTTTATATAGAGTGCGTCCCGGAAAAAACGAAACCGAGAATTATCGATGTTTTATCATAACTTAGACACATTTATAATTAATAAATGACACATATGTGGAAAGCTGAGATCCTCTTTTTTCATCTGATGTAACTCATATAATGCATATTTCACGCATGAGTGATTGAGATGAATTTGAAGAGAGGAAACCAGAAATTTATTTGGCGGACGGTATCTGAATTTCAAAGAGAAAATCACATTTCCAGAAAGTTGAGTTTCTGCCCTTACATATGACACCTCAATCAGGAAAAATGAGCAAGAAATGACAAAGTTCTGTATGTTTAAAGTAGTGCTTGCATATCCATAATTTTATCAAACGAATTTGTTTTCACTGGCTGCCTGCCGTAGCAAAAAAAAAAACAGAATTGTCAAAAAACTTAACTCCGTTTCGTTGACAATCAGCCATGCATGAAGTCTTTCGTCTAAAAAAATGCCAATGGCTGACCTAAATAAGATGACCTTACCCCCCCCCCCCCCCATGGAACAAAATGTCAAATTGTTAAATTACAAGACCCCAAAAAAAGAAAAGTGTCCTCTTACCCCCCCCCCCCCCCGCTTATTCAGTGGCTGGCTGAGTCGTTGCGAAATTGTTGGCCCGATTTTAACCCCCCCCCCCCCCTTGAGAAAATCCTGCGTACGCCACTGCTACTAAATCAAATTGAATGACGCTATTAGCTTCTTGAATGTTGATCTACATAGTCATTCAATTTTGCACGAACTTGAATGAACGTTACGTTTATTTGGATGCGAAGTTTACGAAGTTGGGCGGGAAAACCTATAGTAGTTTTATTGCGTATCAGGACAATTACCCCCTGGGCAATCACCCCCCGGAAAATTACCCCCCGGAAAACTACCCCCCAAGGACAATTACCCCCTGGAAATTTACCCCCCGGAGAATTACCCCCCGAGGACAATTACACCTCCAAGGACAATTACCCCCCGGAAAATTACCCCCCGGAGAATTACCCCCGGAGGACAATTACCCCCCAAGGAAAATTACCCCCCCGGAAAATTACCCCCCGGAGAATTACCCCCCGAAGACAACTACCCCCCGAGGACACTTACCCCCGAGGACAACTACCCCCGAGGACAATTACCACCCGAGGACAACTACCCCCGAGGACAATTACCCCCCCCCCCCCTCGAAACACCATTACCGCGGCCCGAGGACAATCACACCCAGGGAATTTGTAACACTGTGACGTATAATGCGAGCTCCTCTTCAAATTGCTATTTAGAGAAAATGTCATGAACTTTCATTTTCTTAGTTATTTATGACGGAATAGATTTGTTTCGTACAGGGGTTGTGTATAAATTATATTATATTCGTAGCTCACAATTAAAGCCCTCGTACCCATCTGCCAAATCTTTTTGCTTGACGTACATGTATCCTCCTAGGAGGAGATTTCACCCACCCCTCTCGCTCTGTATCCATTCCACCTTTGTGAAGTTTGACCTAATATGCCACGTGTATTGAATCAAATTCAATTGCCAGAAGACGCATGTATCAAATCGAATTCAATACACCAGTTTACAGTTGTATCAGTGCGCATGCGCAGACAGTTGATCTCGGGTCACTGGCCCCGGAAGCGGGGTCAACGGCCCCGGAAGCGGGGCCAATAACGGTATTTATGCGTAAATTAAGATTGCGCCCATATATGCAAATCATGATGTGAGCGCATATATGATAAATAAATTTAACTAGAGGGATTCTAGGCCATGTCATCGCACTGCACACCATGTACCAGCTAGCTGCATGCACCGCTCAAGAAGCCTACCACGTATATATTATAGCTTAGCTTACACAGAAATAACCGTCTGATATGGGTCATTTCTTGGCGCTAGTGTAGCAAGGTATCCAAAATATAGCCTACTAAAACAGACCCCAAATTTCAGACCCCAAATTTTGTGGTCATCATTACCCTAACCCTAACCCTAACCCTAACCCTAACCCTAGAACCCTAACCCTAACCCTAACCCTAACCCTAGAACCCTAACCCTAACCCTAACCCTAACCCTAACCCTAACCCTAACCCTAACCCTAGAGATAATGATAAACACGAAATTTGGGGTCTAAAATTTGAGGTCTGTTTTAGTAGGCTATATTTTGGATACCTTGCTACACTAGCGCCCATTTCTTTAATAAAACTGACATTTGTTGAATCGGAGGTCTAGTGGAGCCAGACGTAGTCTCAGTGGAACAATTACCGACGATATAGGTCTACAGAGACTGAAGCTTTTGGTCTAAGTAAGCTGACTGTTCCGTATTCTACTACTACACTACGTACTAGGCCTACGGTACTTCAAAAACCAAAGTGGTAAGTCACTTGGCCTAGGCCTACAGCTCTTATTGAGTAGTCTATCACCTTCAGAGTTCAGGATACCGGTGTCTGGTCAGGTCCCCCCCCCCCCCCCCAACCAGCCGCTCGCCTCCTATACACAGTCGCCTCCTTACGTAGTCGCCCCCAAATTGTGTGGTCGGGTCGCGGTCGCCTCCTAACTAGATCTAGCCTAGCTATAGCTATAGCTATAGCCTAGGCCTAGACTAGATCTAGATCTAGTAGTGAATAATGCATTTAAATGCAACAAAATTTCCTTCTGGATCAATACATTTGAATTGAATTGAATTGAATTGAATTTAAGACTAGATTTCTAAGAGTAATTAGAGCTCCATATGTAGCCTAGATTCTATACCCATAGTACCCCCCCCCCCCCCCACAAATTTGAAACAAATAGATAGGTCTAGATTCTATCAGATAGATCTAGAGTTAGACTAGACTCTATAATATATGAGTCATGACTTTGACTTGAGTCATATCTATATTTTTTTCAAATTTGTTACCGATATAAACTTTATTTAGACCCTTCTAGGGTTAGAATAGCACGAACCTTGGGTTAGGGTAATCGGACCCTAGTGCCATATGCAGCTAGAACTAAAAATTGCTTGACTTTGAACTTGTAAAAGACATCAAATAAAACAATAAATTAGGGGGCAAAATGACCAAAAAACTTGGGGCGAGCTGACCAAGAATCCCCAAATTGCCACAAAAAAAATTGGGGGGCGACGTGACCAATTGAGGGCGACTTTGTAAGGGGGCGGGCTAACATTGGGCCACCTGACATGGAACCGTAGTTACCTGGCTGTAGTTACCTGTAGTTACCTGTCTTCACAGGCTCTAATTTAAGACGTAGACTCTAGTCTAGTATAATGCCCACCTTCCTTCATTCAAAATCCACTGCATGTGATATCGTGTCATAATTTGCAGATATCAATCCTAATAATTTGCAGATAGCTTTGCTGTCTGCTTAATACTTAAGTTTTACATGTAATTAATAGTGTCATACATGTTCTTAATATAATAGTCATACTTGTTGTACTTTGCTGAGAAAAATGCAACAAATTATAGTTTGTTTTGTTTACACTAGGCATGAGGCCACATTGTTATGTCCCAGGGTGTGGCAACGGGGAGTACGGACTGAAAACGTGGAGCAGCATCAAATGCAAAGTGCATAATATTCTTCAGGAATATTGTGGATGTCAACAACCTTACAAGTATGCCCAGAATTCAACACAAACATGTTGCACTATTTATCAACCCTTGACTTGAGCTGAGTTTCCGTTAACTTTACAGACTAGCCAACATGTTGTTGTTGGTAATTGTGTTAAACAATTAAAAAGCTGTTGTTATTTTGGTGAGTTTTGCTAATTGAGTTATTTAAAGTAGTGTTTTCTGTTTTGTTGTATTTGTTTGTATAGACTTCTATTATATCCTGCATCAAAAATTTGTTGGCTTTTGCTTGGTTGAGAGCTCGTCACATGACCAGAAATATGTAAACTATATGCCCGAGAGTACTATCTGGGAGTTGAAAAAAAAAATTAAATTGAATTTGATTTCTTCTTCAAATCTTAATTTAATGAAAACAAAATATTTTAAATCTTTTTAGATAAAATTTGACAATTTTTTTTTGTTCTAAATTTTTTTTCTTTCCCAAATTTTTTTTTTTTTTTAATATTTTTTATAAAATAAATGTTTGATGCAGGATATAAAACAAATATACCATGCCTTCTATTCGAGGTACTGGTTAAAAATATGGGCCTCGGTGACTACAAAAGTACCTCAGCAAATAGTACTATTGGAGTCACCTTTTGCTCATATTTTTAACAAGAAACTCTCAAGATAGTGTATATTTGTATACTAATCTAATTCTAAGCTCAGTTAATGCATCATTGCAAGATATCTGTGTTTGTTATTTTGTAATCAAACCAGGCCCGTATCTAGTAAGTGTATCTATACATCATGATTCATGAATCAGAATTGAGCTATTTATGTTGACAGTCATGCAGTCACCTGAAAGGATGCTTTAATTCCAAGCTTATTTTGAAGATTTCAAGTACGGTAGACAATGATGCATGAATTGAATGGGGTAAAAGCCATTTCTATTTCTATGTAATACTGATCAAGGCCTGTTCAGCATTTATGATAGAATGGCATACTGCATAAACCCCTAGACTACTATACTAACTTGTTTTTGGAGGATTATTTTTTGAAAGATATTTTCAGGTTGGCTGTAAGTAATACAGACCACCTTATCATTTTATTAAAATCGTCTTTATTTATTTATTATTATTTATTTTTCTTATTTCGACACACTTTTTGTGTGCAAGATAACTAAAAAATCTGAGGGCCTCTGTCCACATTGGTCTACTTTTATCTAAAGTGTGGACACAATCCAATCTGGGCCAATTTAAAAAAAAATTATGTTATTTGATTGATATATTTTGTTGTTAATGTTTTTCATTGTAAATTCTAACCAAGTTGAACATACTAAACCACTAAGATGTGCCTACCACATTGAGTTTTAAGTTATATTTTGTTAATTCTATTGCTCTCTGTTTATAAAGTTTGAAAAGTTCAACTTTAAATTCCATGTCAGATCAATTGATTTCTCTTCAAATTTGGTTTATAAATAGAATATCAGGCCTTAAATTTCAATATTTTTAGGGCAAGGCCACTTTTCTATAGGGCACATTCCTATATTACAGCACAAATAAAAAGAATTGGAAAGGGCACCTAAAATCTCCAAGGCCAATCAAAAGGGCATCCACGGCCATGGCCTTGGATTAATTTAAGCCCTGGAATATTGTAGAACTGATGAGGCTACCCTGGGTAAACAAGACATATTATTATTATTATTATTATTATTATTAAAGTTTTTAATTTGCACTACATTCACAACACCAGACCTACCTAATAGTATGTAATACACCAGATGGTGAACTGTACTTTTCCTGGAAGAAGAAGAAGGCCTAGAGTGATAAAAGCTGAAAGTCAAAATTTCAAATATTAACTAGCGCAATGAAACAGACTTTTCAGTGATTTTCGCTTAAATGTTTGCTTATATTCCTGTATTAAACTACTTGGTTAAATATCTTAAAATAAGCAAGACATTTTCTTGGTTAAGATTAATAATAATGAAAACAAATTTTTAATGCAACCTTTTATTGATATCAATTTCCAGATTAATATGTTTCCCTACGAAAAGGGAACCTGAGGAGCGTGACATGTGGCTGCATATCCTGGGGCGGCCAGACCCCAACAATGACAGTAATTTCCTTGAACCGTCCCGGGGTCACAGAGTATGCTCGTTTCACTTCATAGGTAAGTTCACCATTCAAATTTTTTATCCTCAAGATCAACAATGGGATTCCTTCTGACAGGCGCGGATCCAGGGGGGGGAGCGGGCCTTGCCCCCCCCCCCCCCACCGCAAAAAAAAAGAGATAGAGAAGGAAAAGAAGGGAAAGGGAAAGAGGAGAGAAAGGGGGAAAAAAGAAGAGGAAGAAGAAAAGAAAAGAGGGAAGAAGGTGATTGGGGGGGGCAAAGGACTTCCCCCTCCCCAGCAAACCTAAAAGAGAGAGAAGGAAGGGAAGGGAAAGAAGAGAGAAAGGGGGAAAAAAAGAGAATGAAGAAAGGTAAGGGATATTGGTTGCAATTTTCCCGCCAACAAGGTGTAGATCAGAAAGGAAAAGGGAGTAGACAAAGAACATTTTTGAAATTCAGACAAGGATTAATAGTCGTGAACGGTACAACGAATCGTCTTCTTTCTCTTATAATTTAATAAAACGTTGCGGGGGAGGGGAACTGAATTCAGAGAGCACAATTACTGTTTTTAAGTTGCACACATAAATAAGGACAGTAATTTCCTTCCAATAAGATGTTATCTTTGTCAAGGACTATGCACTCAGTTTGAAAATATGCTTGCTATTCAATATATTTCCAGATGGAGAACCTACAGAGGCACATCCGTTCCCAAGTGTAGGGAAAGCTACATGTAATACTTCGCCTACTAGAAAAAGAAAGTTGGAAGAAGAAGAAGATCATTGTACCGGTAATCAGAAATCAAATCATGTACCCAAATTTTCTACAGCCTCAAAATTTGTAATATATATGCTCGTTAGTTTAATAAAATCATTCAAATCGCAGAATAAAGAGCTGAATAATGAAGTTAAAGACCTCCAGACTGAAATCCTAGATTTAAAAAAAAGAATTACAAATTATAGTGAAATTAAATGTGCAAACATTTTAAAAAGTGATAATGATGCATTGTTTTTCACCGGTATTCATAGTATTTGTTTATTTCACACTTTGCATAAATTTATATCACCATTTGTACATAGAAGGTGGAGAGGATTGAAAGTAGTTAGCACCAAAGTTAAAAGATTTCTAGTTTATAACAAAAAGCCAGGCCCGATTCGTAAATTACATAGTGTTGATGAATTTCTTTTGGTTTTAATTCGTTTGAGATTGGGATTGTCACTCAATGACCTTGCCAAACGGTTTGGAATTTCAATTGCCCTTACATCACGAATATTTAATTGTTGGTTATCTGCCATGAACCAAGTTCTCGGAAAATTTATTTATTGGGCACCAAAAGAGCAAATTGCAGCTACAAAACCATCAAGATTTAAACATTTGCCTGATATCCGTTGTATTATTGATTGCTCTGAAATTTTTATACAGACTCCAAAAGATCCTTTTTTGCAAAGTGTCACATGGTCTGATTACAAACACCACAACACTGCCAAATTCTTAATTGCTGTAGCACCTAATTCATGTATTACCTACATCTCGCCTATGTATGGAGGTAGAGCTTCAGACAAGGGTTTAACTCTAGATTGTGGTTTTTTGGACAAATTAGATCCTTATGACATGCTTCAAGCAGACAAGGGCTTTATTATTCATGATGAATGTGCTGCTAGATTTGTAACTCTACAGGTACCACCAGGAAAAAGAGGTGAAACACAAATGTCATCTGCTGCCGTTAACAAAACCAAGAAGGTTGCCAATTTGCGTATTCTTGTTGAACAGGTAATACGTAGATTGAAAATATTTAATATTCTTAAGAATGAAGTGCCTGTTAGTTTGATACCGTCACTAGACAAAATTGTACGTGTATGCGCAGCTTTATGCAACTTGCGTAAACCAATTTATTCAACTTAAATGTTCTATCTTGTAATGGTATTTCAATATTTAACATTCTAAAGCATGAAGTGCCTGTGAGTTTGATACCATTACTAGACAATATTGTACGTGTATGCGCAGCTTTATGCAACTTGCATAAACCAATTTATTCAACTTGAATGTTCTATCTAGTTGTAATGGTATTTCAATATTTAAAGGTAATACAAAGTTTTGGTATGGGGTCATGAATTTGGTTCAAATAAACATATTGGAAGCATATGCGCTCCTACAATATTCAGTGATCGTTGTCGCGGTCGAAATCGACTCTAAACTTATGAAATTGTAAATAATAAACACTTTATATTGAATAGCTCCCTCTCAAGGTCAATATATTAATTAAGCTATGAAACAATGTTTATTGACTAAAATCGACCGATTAGATATTCCCGTTCGGAAATTATATACTACAACTACATATTCTGAAATTTTCATGGTCGCAGCTACCATTGTACGGCCGTAGGAGTTTTTTTTAATTTATCAAAATTGACCGGGAGCACCGGTAAATCTTTATATTCAATTTTTCTCGAAAGCAGAAGTGTTTTAGGGGCTAAAGTTTCTAGTGCTTTTGATACAATCACAGGGGCATCCAAATGTATCAAAATTGTAAAGATTCACTATCCACCCATTTTCAAAATTTCCCAAAACTTTGTAATACCTTTAACATTCTAAAGCACGAAGTGCCTGTGAGTTTGATACCATCACTAGACAAAAATGTACATGTAATGGTGCGATCTTGAAGATTGTAGTGCTAATATATTATGAACAAACCTTTATATTTTTTTAAAATGCAACGTGTATTGCTGATTTACGTTAAATATGGCAAATGGAAAAGTCATCATACAGTCATTCATTGGATGTTTGCAATACATAAGTTATGTAAATAAACTCTGTGTAACATGGAAATGATGATGGAAAGAATAATGATTTTCACCACAAAATAAACTTCCGGTTCTATTGTGTGTTTTTATTGCTTCAATGTTTAGACAACGAAAAAACAACAACCCTGTTTTGCTGATCCCTATACATGTAAATGTCACAAAAATCGGGAGAAAATATGAAACCAAATTTGATTCAATTTAAAAAATAAAATCATGTTCAATTTCACATAATTTCAGCCCAAAATGCAAAATCTGGGTCAGTAGGGCCCGTAAAACAGGGTGTGTTTTTTCTGTGTCGTCACATAGTAATTTTCCAGATAGTTACTTTCAGGTACAAGTTTTAGTTTAGTTCTTTAGTCAGGATTATTACTAGTAAATCTTAGATTTTGGATCATTGACTACCGTAAGTGAAAATAAAGAAACTCCTAAACAATTTCAGAATGATTATAAAATTATTATGGACTAATCAGAAATTATCTTACAATTCCCTTTAGAGTAATTACAATACGTTCATTCAAAAGTTCATTGAACAATAGACTATAGAAATACAATACATTTTGATAACAAAGAACTTGTTCAGTTCAGTTCAGTTTATTTTGGCATGGCACCAACTTCAGCCAAAGGCTTTTCTTCTGCAAAAAAAATAAGAACAATTATGAGATAACTCACAACATATAAATAATAAAAACAAACAAAGACTAAATAAGTATAAAAAAAGAAAATGTATAAACCAAGATACTTCCACCATGAGTCTACTACGAAGTCCATGCTTCCACCCCCCCCCCCCCTTTCAGCGATTATTATTTCCAATCTGCATTTGTTAAATTTGTTATAGTTATATATTCAAGAGTACAAAATATATGAATATTGTAAAACTCAAACAGTAAAATTCATTTTATAAAGTTACTATTTATATTTCCCGTGATATGAATACAGAGAAAGATATATTGTTTTGTTCTATAAATAAATATTTAAACATACAAAATATGAATACTATCTGTCATTTAAAATATTATAAAACTCTTGACAGTGAAATTGTTTTTCATAAAGTAAATATTTATATTACCCTTAATTTGAATACAGAGAATGACATATTCGTTCGTTCATAGGTAGCTGATTCCAAGATTTGCTGCCTCTATAACATAAGCTCCATTTCTTGAAATTCATATGGGGTTTGGGCAGTATTATGAGCATTTCTCAAGCTATAATAACAATATTCCTTATTTAAAAAAATTTCATGAACAGTTTTATACAAAATACATAATCGTGAACATTTATCTCTCTGTTCTGATATATTTTTCTGTTTTCTAACAAAAAAAAATGAATCTAGGCTACGGAACCTCCATCCAACATGAAGTACCACACAAAGTGCCCTATTCTGCAGTTTTTGCAAACTTTATAAACTTCCATTTCCTGGTATTGCACCCACTCATTGAATTACTGATTTCTAACACATTAGTGCAATTTTCTGTGTAACATATGGTTTAAATCAACAAAATTATATCTTTTTACTAACACCGTCTTACTTAAATATTCAATATGTTTACACCAATCCAAATGTTCATCAATAACTATTCCAAGACACTTACAGTGGGTTACACATTTGAGTGGAACATTTTGTATAAAAACATCTGGTACTATAATTTCTTTTTAGCCTTTTCTTTGTTCCAATAAAAAGCAAGTCACATTTTTCATGTTTAGAGACGTGCATCATCAGCATAATTATAATGATGTCTTACATGTATTCAGACATGAATGCAGATCATTGATTAATAACAAATAACAATGGGCCAATATTGACCCCCGCAGTATTCCACATTGCATCTTTTGTGAATTAGAATGAATCCTGTTTACACAAGTATATTACATGCAGTTGTTTAAGTAACTACCAAACCGCTGTAACGAAAAATGACAATATAATATATTCAAGTCAATTAATCGTAGCTTAATCAAAAGAACTTTTGTAAACAATAAAATAGAGCAGCAATCTACTTGTTATATTTCAAAGTTGGTTTAATTCAAATATTAGACTATACATTTTTACCAGAGAATATTGAAATAAAATGTATGCAGAAAATATATGCTATAATAAGCCATGTTCAACACAGTTTCAAGGCAATTAATGGTTTCAACTAAACAGCATTATATATTGCACTAACACAAAATAGGCCCACAATTCATTTGTCAGATTATTAGCATTATATATTGCACCAAAACCAAATAAGGCCCAGAATTCATTTGTCAGATTATTAGCATTATATATTGCACCAAAACCAAATAAGGCCCAGAATTCATTTGATAGATCATTATTAATTATACACAGTTATCGCATATCCACTTACCAGTTTCTCTTAGAACATCACTTTCTCTAAGCCCAACACATACCATGTGATGAGAAACCTGGCAAACTACGCATTTCAGGCCATTGTCAAAATCTTTGAGAGGATTTTTAAGGACATCTAGGCCGCAAACTCCACAAAGAAACACATGGGGCAATTTGGACTTGCGCATTGCAGTAACTTTCGAAGTACTCGGTACACAGTCCGTATGAGAAATGGAACTGTGCTGAACATGGCTTATCATAGCATACGAATGATCAGTGTGGTCTCGATTCTGCAAGGACCCTTGTAGTAAAACAGGACATAAATGTCTGCGCCAAAAGTATTCAGCATTTGCAGCCATTTCTGCAAACAGCACTGAATCGAATAAAACTCTCTCCAAATGAAAACCACAGGGAGTGTAAACAAAAAAATCACAAAACTCTGCTCCCACAATGCCCATTTGGGACTGAACCTGAAAAAAGTATGTAGATTCTGAAGACAATTTAGTACATCCATTAATATATTTCAAGTGGGGCCAATTGTCTGGTGAAGGGGCTTCTTTGAGATACGGACACTTAATCTCACACAGGCCTTTACCATGACACTTACATGAAATCAAAAGATCCGGTGATGCAGCAAGGAATGGTTTATCTTTGCACACATGAAGGCCTGTGTCCTTTACAGTAAATACCTTGTGTTTCTTGCGCATTTGTTTAGAGTACACAATTTTTGCGTGCGGCTCGAGAGCAATACCATGCTTCATGGCAACAGTTTTGATTGTACCTGAATTGTCTAGTAGTGCTGATAAGAGTGATTTAACTGATTGGGAAGGATCTTTTTTGAGGGTTTTAACCCGAGTATGTACCCTGTGAATATTGCTAGAGGTAATGCGCCCCTTGCGCTGTTGAAACCACATGTTGGAGTCCCTTTGATCAGCTGTCGCACGGCATATGGCTTCTATCTTTGACTTGTCTACCTTCATTGCTGTTAATAGATTTTCCACTGCTGTTTCAGGGTCTTCAACAGAGGTCTTTACCTCATCTGCTAGCTTTTGCGGAGTTTTGGGACATTCTAATTTTTTTTTTGAAGGAAAGGGCTTACCATCGTACAGTTGCATGAAGCAGCAGTTTGGATTGATACTGCGTAGTTTTGAGGACAAGTCTGTGGTGGATTGATCACTGTCGATATATTCTTTTTGAGGAGCTGTCATCGGTGTGAACTTAGTTGCCAATACCTTAACAGACTGGGCAAAGGTGTCATCACCATCTGCAAAAAAGCATGGTTATTGAATTACACAAATGTTAGTACCAAATGAAAATATTGATTATAACAAAGTCCCATCAGCAAGTGAACTTACTGACCATCCAGGTTTTGAACCTGTGACCTCCGATTTGCTAGTGCGACACTCTTACCAATGGGGACGATTTGCTCATTTATGTTGTGTAGTTGCAATGGTTCAAACTAATTTCTTTTTCAAATATTTATTGACAGGTTTGAGTTTCTTTTCTATATAATTTATAAATAAGGTAATAATAATTGAAAAAACTAACAACAATTAAAGCAACATAGAAATCATTTTAAAAAGCTTATCAATAAAAATAAGTCTACATTTAACACAATCAAAACTAATCATAAACAAATACTTGGTATTTTGATAAGTTAACTACCAATCGTTCATCAAAACTTTAAAAACAAAAATGAAAAGATCAATTTTCTATATCATTTTAAATACCTTTATGCAGATTGGCATTAAAAAAAAAAATTAAAAAAAAATATTGAATGCCTTTTACTTATGCTATGGCCAAATTATTTCCCCCCGATAATACATACCTTGATTGAAATACTGATCTTTCTTCCAAACAAGGTCCTTCAGAGGGGTTGGTTTTGAGATGGACTTCATATCCCTTGGCACATTCCATGTACATGCCTGGGAAGTGCAGCTTGTCATACCTGTGCGTACAGCGCATTCAACTCTGAATAGGAGTCCTGCAATGTGGTTACATGAACCATGAAGCCTGAAATTGAAATCACAAGACTTGTATTCAACTTAAATGAATTTTACATTTTACTCTAATATCTTACCACTTTAACAACCTTACTGACCTAGACCACTGTATAATCCATAATCTGGCCTTTAATTTAATTGCATTGGCCTATTCATCAGAAAAATGAAATACTGTAAAATTGAACCCATGTAAAAACCACTAACCAAGTCAAGATACCAGATTTCTGCACCATTTCGGTCAAGCATGCCTGTTTCGCGTTTCTTAAAAGAAAGGTTTAAAATTAGACAAACCCCCCAATCATTGGGATGTATTCATACACTCCTTGTAGTATCTAACCAATCAAATGGCAGGAATAAAAGTATGCAGAGTTGATTAAAAATTTGTACAATACACTTATGCACTGTGCCCCAGACTCCGCTATCGATGCTTTTGATGTGCGCAGGGGTGTTGCTTCAATAGATCAATTTTTACTCTGAGGCTCCAGATCAAATCAAAATATCTGAAACGTTTAATGCCACACTCCCGGTAACACCTTCATAATTTTATTTCAAATGCAATATTAACTTACCCTGCTGTACAAGTGCAATATGCACTGAAAATTCTCCCACCAGCAAAACTTGGGGTATCTTTCTCAATAGCCGCCCATACCTGATAGGGAGGCATTGATGTTCTCATGGAGGCTGACACTTTTGCTGTTAGGAAGCAGATTTTAGAGGTTGTGCTTATTGAATGGTAGCAGATCTTCTTGACCCATCCAGAGGTGAAATATCTAAAAACATGAGAGAATTGTAATTTTAAAAAAAATTGTATTGAAAAACTCTAAATTATCATATTTTGCATTCTGTGATAAGAACTGGGAGTGGTACTAATACAGAAGGCTAGGAGCCGAGGGTTGTGAAACAGCATGATCGCCAAAGTCAAACGATATGGCACTTAGAGAGAGAGAGAGAGAGATAATATCAAACCATAAACTTTTTTGTATGTCCATGCAGCACACAGTAGTATGACTGTTTTCATGGAAAACCTACTAGTATTTATCCAAAAGTGCATATTTTCAATATTTGATGATGTTTTTGAAAGAATTTCTCTCGGTTCTTAAAAAGTAGTCAAATTATTTTAAAAAACAGGTGACATACAATGATGCGCCTTTCCCCTGAAGCTCAAAGGGCTCACAAACTATAGTATACAGTTTACAAATACTTATCATCAATAAAAATATATGCAACATGCCCTTTTCTTAGTATTAAAGGTGAATAAGTCACAGAGATGTGGTGATTTTACACTGTGTAAGCAACATATTAGGATGTATAAACTGACCATATTTAGATGAAGCTTGTTTGGTTTACTGTGAAATACAGCTTGTCAAAGTTTCCAAGTGTCACCGCCGCAACAATGGAATTGCCCAGATGTCAGCATTGCTTGAATAATTTTGGAAGCGCAATATTGTGATGAAATGTCTTCATGCAATATCCTTACCTGTAAGCTTTTCCCTGTTTATACTCATTGCAGAGTCTGTAATACAGCTCCTGAGGTGTTTTTAACCTTAGGTATTCGGAAATGTCTGTAAAATACAGCTTTGGCCATCGGCACATTGCAGATTCATCCAGCCAGCCATTGATGGTGAAAGGATCTGGCAGAACAACATCTTCAATCTTCAGCTTGGCTCTATACTCCTCCAGGTTAGACCTCTGGGCCTGTTCTTTGGTCGGATCTATTGGTATGCCCTCTTCCCATGCTATAAAAGCTCTGAAGAAGAATAAATAAAGGAAATACAGAGGATATTTGATTAACAGAGCTACCAAGTGTCCCGCATTTCGATGGTCTGAAAAACGCTCTCACGCACGACACGACCTTTCAACTTGGCATCTCTGGATTAATTATACAGCATTTTTCAAATTGAATTATGCATATCTTATGCCCACCCCATGCCATCTTCTATCATAAGGAAATAACAGATTCAAGTTCGGAGTGGAATAAGGTTTCTGTATAGGTCTGCTAGCTCAAATGACTTCCACTCGGGGGAGGAGTTAGTTAAAATAGACAACTGTTTCAGTGTACGAAATTATATCATTAAAATATAGATTTTTTTTTTTTTTAAAGTGCATGGACAATTGGACATGATTTAAATTAAGATGTCACTTGGCAACAATTTAATTAATATGAATTACAAATCTCCTTCATCCAATCAGGATGATAAAAATAATACAAATTGTATATAAATGTATATAAATGTCAATAACAACAGTTGCAATAAATATAATTGCGAGTTATTCTTTAGAGCTAAGGGGCGACTTATTTATTATTCAATTAATTGCGCGGTCTGCAGGGGAAAGGAACGGAAATGTTATGGGAAATGATATTATAAATGATGGCCACTTATCTTCGCTTATATTTTGATTGCGGACTTGAGCTTGGGACGGGATGCGACTCAGACGAAACAGGACGTGACTTGAAGGAACCTGGACTTGACTTGGACGAAACTGGAACTTGACGGGAACGAAACTGGACGTGACTTGGAGGAACTGGAACTTGACGGGGAGGTGACTTGGACGAATTGGATAAACATGTATTTTTCTAAGTGAACAGATTTAATCCTGACATTCCATTCAAGGACTCATTCATGTGAATTGACCTCAACTCCAATAAAATAAGGGGCATTCCCATTCTCTACAAACATCTTATTCTTGAGATATTTGGACAAGTGGAGAATAACCAGGTATCATTTCACTGCAGTTCGCTGACCTCAAGTAGGAAGAAGGATGATGAAGTAGGAGAGAGAGAGAGAGAGAGAGAGGGGGGAGGGGTGAGGGTCACATGTTTTAAAGGGATATATCTTTACCTCGCTACACATACAATCAAGTAATTTAAAAGACTGAATCGAATTATGATCCATTTTTGGTTGCATGTAACAATGAAGATCTTTATTTCAAGTCATGGTCATTGTGACTATAGACTTCTATATCTCTGTGCATGAACAAAATATAAGCCTACCTTGCTGCAAGTTCCTCAAAGGTTCCCTCTACACTCTTCTTGCGAATATTGAGATATTGTTTCAATGCCAGCGGGGACCATAGCGTAAAATCAGCAAGGTTAAGATCTACACCACTGACACCAGGAACCACGTGATTGTCTCGTTTTCTCTTCATTTTCATATCAACCCTAGATATAAAAGAGATGGAAAATAAAGAGAGCCATAAGTTGTGCTTTTGTCATACAGGAAGTATTATTATTGATTATTATTATCACACCTATGCTCTTTATTTCTCAATCAAACTCCAATGATTGTAACCAGTGGTTCGGCTCTGGTTGCAACTGCAGAAATAAAATAATTTGGTTGATCAAAGGCAATTCACATGGTGCAAGCTTGTTGAAAGTTATTTTTAATAATGTTCTTTCGACTTGTGGGAAGCGGATTGGTGCAGCTGCATCAACCTGATCTTGATTTTATTTATTTATTTATTTATTTATTTCTAATCTTTTGACAGGGTAGCCCATTCACCAACAAGTAGTGGTCTTCCATGGGTTCATTGATTCATTGAGTTTACGTGTTTAAATCTGTGCTTGGCTATTCCTGTATGTACATTTGTTGTTCTCCGGCCAGACCAGTCCATACCCTCTACCATAGGTTTTCTCCAAGAGCTACGGTTTACTCCTGTTTTCAAAATTGGGTTGTTCGACCTTCAATTACATCCAGCACCCCAGGTTATTGGGCAGCTGTTAAGCAATAATCAAGCTACGTACCTAATTGCGCTGATTTACCAGCAGTGAATTTACAGACAATTCATTAGTTATAGAACTGCACTTAACAAGCCCTGATTATTATTATTTTAAGTGAGTACAGATTTTTATTTTATTGCAAATCATTATCATATCAAATTTCATAAATTTTGTGTCTCAAAAAGAATTTAAAATTTCTAAGAACATGATGGAAGATTAAAAACAGATGCAGAAAATGTTTAGTGATACCTACAATCGTGTAAATACTGTACTTATATTGCTCATACTCGTACTTTAATATAGTCACAACAAATATATTTAAGCTACTTTGCATAACTCTGAGCGCGAGCTGTGAAATTTGACAGTGTATATTGTATTTGTTATAAAAAAAAAAGTTAAATATAACACGTAGATCTATTGCAATTATTATTTACATGGCAAGACTCACTGTCGGCCTACACTAAATCTAACATGCAATGGATTATAAAATCTTTAACAAAATGTTATGATATCCACTATTTTGTTCTCATTGATGCGATGCTGACAATCTGTTGTAGAAGTATAACTTAGAAGTAAAAGTTGTTCATAATTCAAGACCGGCACGCCAGTACCCTACGTATGCTAGATTCGGTCACTGCCCCGCAGCCGCGGCGCAGTGCAGCTGCAGTGACCGTATCGAGCATACGTACGTACCACTCACTTAGCCAACATTGTGCATCGACTTCCCCAAATCTCAAAATTTCATCATAATTTGCCGTTCAATCTAACAATTATATATAAAGGAAAGTATTTCCATTCAAACTCTTTGTTATTTTTAAATCTATATTAGTAAAATATCTCAAACTTACCACTAAATTCAGCTCAGGACGTAAAGTCGGATAACAGCTGATTTCGAACAGCTGGCCTGGATTTTTTTTTTTTTTTTTTTCATAGGTTTTTATTCGTTTCTCTCAAAGAAAATTGTACATTTATAACATAATACATTGGATACAAAATAACAAAATAATTTAACATAGTTCTTTATAAATTTACCAATGATCTTTTACATTTACATACAAAAGTTACACCTCTTCATTTTCCTTTGGAGACAAAAAAAAAATAAAAAATTATATATATAAAAAAGGGAAAAAGCTACAAAACACCTACTACCCCCCCCCCCCCCCCCCCCCACCCCACACAACATTTAAACACATAACATGTACAACAGTATACAAAACACACGCTAACATAGAACGAGCAAAAAAAAACAACAAACAAACAAACAAAAAAAACAAAAAAACTGAAAACTGAAAACATTTATTCTAAACTTTCCAAAGCTTCCCATTTCCTTAAATGAATTGAAAGTGTGTCTCTTTCCATTGAAAGTTTTTTCTCTTCATTTCTATTTTCCAACAATCTATATTCTATTTCTTTTGCTTTTGGAGGGTTTCCCTTCTCTCTACTGTGGAAAATCATATATTTAATCAAAATTAAAATGTGGTTCAATAATTGCTCTGTTTTAAATGTAGTGTCATCTAATCCTATATGAATTTCTTTCCAGGATAATTTCTTCAAAATTGGTAAATTAAGTCTATCTCCACATTTCCCCCAGACTTCCTTTATTGTATTACATTCAAAGAATATATGTTGATAAGTTTCTTCAAAATTTTTGCAAAATGAGCACAAACCAAACCTGGATGACGCGTACCGATCGCATCCGATATCACGGTTCATACAGCTGAAGATGACGTCACCAATGGCGGCCTAAACCGTAAACTGTGACGCAACAATAAATGTTCATCTGAAAACGATGACATCACTGCCTGCGCGCTGCGCTGTGCGCTCACATCATAATTTGCATGGGCGCAATCTTAATTTACGCATAAATACCACTGACCTTTAGGTCATTGGTTTTGTTTAAAATGGCGCACACAACTGTAAACTGGTGTATTGCCAGAAGACGCATGTATCAAATCAAAGTACGGAATTTACATTTCTTAGAAATTTAACAATACATTGCGCGCAGATGAGTACGCGTTAATACAGCTAGTCTCCCCAAAAATGGCCCAACAAAGAAATTAGGATGTAAGATATCATTATTTATGCATCCTCTGTAACTTTTCTAATCAGCTGATCGTATATTTGTCTTTGCATGTATAATGGGCCCTCATCCATGATCTATTCCAAAATTAAGGTTCTCTTCATGTTTATAAATGTAATGTAATATATATATATATTTCTGTTGTCATGGTGAACTAAAATATGTTTTCTTGTACTTTAGTTTATTTTGAAATAAAAATTGCCTTCAAGTTAAATATATTGTATGTACGGTGCCATATTAAAAGAAAATAAGTATCCGCACTTGGGTACATTCATCTAAATGATTTTGTAATTCCAGAGCAGCGTTTTTTCAACTGGGGTGCCGCAAGAGAATGTTAGTTACATGACAATTTTTTTGGGCAAACGTTGATTTTGTGAAAAACAAATATCAGAAACGGGTAGAGTATTTATTTTCATGAGAAAATAAAATGTAAACAAATAATAAAATGTCTTTCTTCCTCGCTCGCTGACAATATTTTGCGAATATATATCTTTTATTTCGACATTACATTGTTACCACACTCATCACAATTATAAACATGATGAATCAAGGCAACGAGAGGCCCGAATATCCTCATATTCGTGTATCAAGGTCATGACCGAATATTTCACTTTATATTCGTGTACATTCGGCGGTGAGGCGCCCGCATACCTTAAATCTGTGCTAGTGTGTTGATTACAACATTATGTTTTACCATTTTGAAAATGTCTTGTCCTTGTTTTTCTTGCTCGTTCACTAAATCAAGAAACAAATGTGCCCATACGTGTGTACATAGCACTTGACGAGTGCCAGAGTGATGCAAAATAAATAGTTTGTGAAGAATTTAAGATTGGGCGGAACTTTTCATTTCGTAAGAGGGCATCGTGTCGAACAAAAAGTTGAAATAACGCTGCACAAGAGAAATCCTTCGTAGAAAACAGCAACCACAGTGTTGTTGCATACATTATAGTTAAAGAAAAATGTGTAGTAATGAGGAAGATCACGCGCAAGTATTTGAACGAATGTGGGTTCATGCACGGGATCTTATGGGCTCGTAGCCTTCACAGCATCTCTCAACGTGTCAGATCGTCTTTTGCTATTGAATCCTGATTGTCCCCGGGGGGGGGGGGGGAATTGTCCTCAAGGGGTAATTCCTCAAGGGGTAGTTTTCCGGGGGGTAATTGTCCTTGGAGGGTAATTGTCCTCGGGGGTAGTTGTCCTCGGGGGGTAATTGTCCTCGGGGGTAATTGTCCTCGGGGGGGTAATTCTCCGGGGGGTAATTTTCCGGGGGGTAATTGTCCTTGGGGGGTAATTGTCCTCGGGGGGTAATTCTCCGGGGGGTAATTTTCCGGGGGGTAATTGTCCTTAGGGGGTTATTGTCCACGGGGGGTAATTCTCCGGGGGGTAATTCTCCGGGGGGTAATTGTCCTTGGGGGGTAGTTTTCCGGGGGGTAACTTTCCGGGGGGTGATTGCCCAGGGGGTAATTGTCCTAGAACCGTTTTATTGTTATTAACATTACCACTGTAATTATCATTGTTATTCTTTTTAATCATTATTATTAGGTGGGCTGTATCTTATACAGACCACCTTATAATTTTGTTAAAATTGCCTTTATTATTTATTAGGTGGGCTGTATCTAATACAGACCACCTTATAATTTTGTTAAAATTGCCTTTATTATTATTATTATTATTTATTATTTATTTTTCTTATTTCGACCCACTTTTTTGTGTTCAAGATAATTTGAAAATGGCTCAATCAAATATCTTAAAATTTAACACACATATGTATAGGCATATTCACAAAACACAGCAAATTTTTCGACCTTGACCTTGACTGATGACGTCATCTAGGCGCCATTTTGTGAAAAATTTTGAAAATCAACTTATGATCATATCTTCATAACCAAAAGTAATATCTCATTCATATTTATCATGATCAAGGTCAATATCAGTCCGGTCAAATTCAGGTCAAAAAACGCGCGCGTGCGCGTACGTCCGCGCGTCATTACGCGCGCAAAAATTTTAAATGCTCGAAATCGTCTTAAATTTTTTTTGCATACGTTTCAGGTCATTTTAAGCATTTTATAAAAAAATCGCGCGCACGAGCATGCGCGCGCGTTTTCGCGCGTTACACCATTACACAACATAGAATCGCCATTTTTTTTTCTTTCATGATATTTCTCATATTTTTTCGAGGA